TCCTGCCCAGATGGGCCCCGTGGATATGAAACGGTGAGACGGGGCCACTTACTGGCCTCAGAAGACGCACTGAGGGGGAAAATATGCAATAAAACACTGAAGCAAAGCTACAGTAAGAGGCTTATCTTCCACAGATCCCTCAAACTGCAGCATATTTTAAACCTTTGACTGGATGAGAGATGAATTGGAAACCAGCGCAGAGGTTTGGACATGGTAGACAGAGTTTGAATGGATGGCCTGGTAGAAAAATATTCCCGGATAAAATGCCAGGCTTTCCTTTCTACACTGCTTCAGTGCATTTATCTGTGTCAGCTTAGTCCGTTTTTAGGAAGATAAATGAATCTTTTCAACATTAATGAAGTCATTTGCTGCTGCGATCCTGACATCCTGAGCAGTTAATAGAAAATAATCTCTAAAAATGGGTCTGGAAAGACATCCCCCAGTGCAGTGATCCATCATCTATGGCTGCTTTTATATAATGTTGGTGGATTCGTCAGAGGCTGTAGCTGCATTCATCAGATAATTAAGAAGAAGTTCATGATGGCCAAACAACATCTCAGGTTCAGGGTCCATCTATATGTGGCTTTATGTGGAGCTCAGGAAGTCTAGATGTTGTGGAGGGATCTTACAGGTAGTTCAGATCCTAAAGATCCTATTAAAGTTAGAACCAGAACCTCATTAAGTCTTGGTCCCTGTTTACAGAAACGTTCACATGGTCATTTCTAACCTTCATTAACCTGTTTCTGGAGACCAGATGAACTCACTGATGAATCTAGTTACAGTCCTTCAGTTTCCTCACTCTCAGTCAAAGATGTTTGCAGAGTTTCCTGCATCTTTGGTGGATTTAAAGTCAACCAACTGCTTTTCAAAGAGATCCAGATGTATACTCAGCCCTGGCCCTGGTCCTGGTCCTCTACCTGGTCCTGGTCCTGGTCCTGGACCTAGTACCAGCCCTGGTCCTTGCCCTGTCTCTAGTCCTAGTTCTGGTCTTGGCCTTGGCCCTGGCTCTCATCCTGGTTCTGGACCTGGTCCTGGTCCTTGTCCTGGTCCTGAACCTAGTACCAGCCCTGGTCCTTGACCTGGCTCTAGTCCTAGTTCTGGTCTTGGCCTTGGCCCTGGCTCTCATCCTGGTTCTGGACCTGGTCCTGGTCCTTGTCCTGGTCCTGGACCTAGTACCAGCCCTGGTCCTTGACCTGGCTCTAGTCCTAGTTCTGGTCTTGGCCTTAGCCCTGGCTCTCATCCTGGTTCTGGTCCTGGCTCTCATCCTGGTTCTGGACCTGGTTCTGGTCCTGGTCCTTGTCCTGGTCCTGGACCTAGTACCAGCCCTGGTCCTTGCCCTGGCTCTAGTCCTAGTTCTGGTCTTGGCCCTGGCCCTGGCTCTCGTCCTGGTTCTGGACATGGTTCTGGTCCTGGTTCTCTACCTGGTCTTGGTCCTGGTCCTGGCCTGTTTTGGAGCTGTTATCTTCCTTCCTTCTTTCTTTGGTTTTGGTTTAATTCTGGATCCCAGCTAAAGGAAAAGTTTGATGGATGGATGGATCTGCCTTTACTGCTGTTTTTTTCTCCTCCCCTGAAATCTGTGGAGTTTTTATTCAGCAGCACTTAGATCACCTTCAGGAGGTGAATGGACATCAGGACATGTCTTAATGGACCAGTTTTTCCTTTATATATACCCGCAGTTGAAACTACTAAACCCCCAGAAGCTCTGCACTGCTGTTGCTTTGTCTCCTTCTTAGATAAAAAGTGAAAGAAGTGTGAGTCTGTTAGTCAGGAAGGTTGAACTGGATTACTGTTGCTTCTTACGATATCTGTGCCATAAATAGAAATATGGTTGGAGGAGAGCAATGACTCCAGATCCAGGGGATCTGATCTCCATCCAACCTTCATCTCACTGGTACAGAGCAGGACCATTGGTGGGATTCTCTGTAAGCTGCTGCCATCTAGTGGTGCCATGGAGTAACTGACAATGTCAATGACTCCCATTTATTCTGCATTCATCACTGTTGTTCCTTTCATGCTGATTTTCCACAGTTTCAACCTTAATCAGTTAAATAACACTCAGCAACATCTCTGATATTTTCAAATATCCATCACTGTAAAAATGTCCATAGCTGGATATTTATGGTTATTTATGCTCCAGTTCTATATTGTTTAAACACTTTACAGTATACAGGTGCTGGTCATAAAATTAGAATATCATGAAAAAGTAGATTGATTTCAGTAATTCCATTTAAAAAGTGAAACTTGTATATTATA